GTTTCTATACCCCTAGCCCTACATCAACCCTACATCGACCCTACATCGACCCCACATCGACCCCACATCGACCCCACATCGACCCTACATCGACCCTACATCGACCCTACATCGACCCTTATCTTCATCTTCTTATCTTCCTTATCCTTATCTTTATCTTCCTTATCCTTATCTTTATCTTCCTTCTCCTTATCTTCCTTAGCCTTATCTTTATCTTTTTATCTTCCTTATCTTTATCTTCCTTATCTTTATCTTCCTTATCTTTACCTTTTTATCTTCCTTATCTTTATCTTCCTTATCTTTATCCTCCTTATCTTTATCTTTTTATCTTCTTTATCTTTATCTTTATCTTCCTTATCTTTATCTTTTTATCTTCCTTATCCTTATCTTATCTTCTTAATTTTATCTTCTTATCTTCCTTATCCTTATCTTAACTTCCTTATCATCCTCGAATGGCTTTAGGATTCAATGATTCACTCTTATGATTCAATGATTCACTCTTATGATTCAATGATTCACTCTTATGATTCAACGATTCAATCTTATGATTCAATGATTCAATCTTATGATTCAATGATTCACTCTTATGATTCAATGATTCAATATTACTATTCAATGATTCAATCTTAGTATTCAATTATTCAATCTTATGATTCAATGATTCACTCTTAGGATTCAATGATTCACTCTTAGGATTCAATAATTCAATCTTACTATTCAATGATTCAATGATTCACTCTTAGTATTCAATGATTCACTCTTAGGATTCAATGATTCAATCTTACGATTCAATGATTCAATCTTAGGATTCAATGAATCACTTTTATGATTCAATGATTCACTCTTAGAATTCAATGATTCAATCTTATACTCCCTAGGCTCGGAGCCAGCTCCTTAGGCTCGAAGTTTCACAGAAGCTTCACAGAAACTTCACAGAAGCTTTACAGAAGCTTTACAGAAGCTTCACAGAAGCTTTACAGAAGCTTCTGTAAAGCTTCTGTAAAGCTTCTGTAAAGCTTCTGTGAAGCTTCTGTAAAGCATCTGTGAAACTTCGAGCCTAAGGAGCTGGCTCCGAGCCTAGGGAGTATAAGATTGAATCATTGAATTCTAAGAGTGAATCATTGAATCATAAAAGTGATTCATTAAATCCTAAGATTGAATCATTGAATAGTAAGATTGAATCATTGAATCCTAAGAGTGAATCATTGAATCCTAAGAGTGAATCATTGAATCATAAGATTGAATAATTGAATACTAAGATTGAATCATTGAATAGTAAGATTAAATCATTGAATCGTAATATTGAATCATTGAATCATAAGAGTGAATCATTGAATCATAAGATTGAATCATTGAATCATAAGATTGAATCGTTGAATCATAAGAGTGAATCATTGAATCATAAGAGTGAATCATTGAATCATAAGAGTGAATCATTGAATCCTAAAGCCATTCGAGGATGATAAGGAAGTTAAGATAAGGATAAGGAAGATAAGAAGATAAAATTAAGAAGATAAGATAAGGATAAGGAAGATAAAAAGATAAAGATAAGGAAGATAAAGATAAGGATAAAGAAGATAAAAAGATAAAGATAAGGAGGATAAAGATAAGGAAGATAAAGATAAGGAAGATAAAAAGGTAAAGATAAGGAAGATAAAGATAAGGAAGATAAAAAGATAAAGATAAGGCTAAGGAAGATAAGGAGATGGAAGATAAAGATAAGGATAAGGAAGATAAAGAAGATAAAGATAAGATAAGGAAGAAGATAAGGAAGATAATGATACGGAACTTGTTGTAATCGACTACTGGTCTTTGTACACGATGCAATCCGACCTAGCTAAAACGCTTCTGCAGGGTGGATGGTTGGTCTCGGCCGTCAAACATGAACAGCCTAAGTGCGTCTGGAACAATAGTCCGTTCTATATAACGACGAACACTGTTCCCGATTTCGGGAAATAAATGGAAAACGTCGAACGACGAATTTCTGTTTACGAAACTCAATCGTTGCCGAGGACAACCGCAGGAATCGACAAATGGATCTATGAACACGCAATGGACTGCTTGGTTTGGACCGCAAACCAGATAACGGCCAACATCGATCATGTACCACGCCAGGAACGCTGGTACGAGAACAGCGACGGCGAAGCAGCGGTCATAGATGATAACAACATAGCACGGTAAGCACTTAACATTATTAGCTGCATTGCTCCGCTCAAAAACAAACTATGGTGCTTCCCATATGCGTCACGGTTAACTAGATGATAGAGTAATCTGATTAATTATAAAAACATTTCCCTTCATTATTAGATCCCTTTTCGACTCAACGATTGTAAAAAACATCGGTTATCAAGATCTGAGAGAAATCGAAGTAGAACCAAACGTGTCAAGGTCGAGCCCAGCAGACTCCTGCGCAGTCCATCGTTCTTTTGTACGAGATGAAGAGCATGAAGAAATTGCAGTGCTGAGAGACCTCCGCCGAAGCTTCCGGTTGCCATCATCTTCATCAGAATTGTCGGACGAGGAGAATAATCGCTGTCATTTGAAATCATGTAAGCCTCCAATACATGACGAGGCAGAGCCGTCCCAGAAATATCAAAAGACACAAGCAGAAGAAGAGGAGGAAGAAGAACAAGATTCATCACCTGAAGATGCTTTCCAAATAATTTCGACACAGACGGGTTGGGTTATGAATGACGACAAGTACATGTACAAAGTATACGAGCACATTAGATGGCGGTAAGCAAGAATCTTGCATATGTTTAAACTTTCTTTAAAAGCACGCGCTTGCTTCTCTTTTTTTAATTAAACAAAAAAGGCCACATTTTCTATTGTACCCAGCCCCATTTTCTAAAGATGTCTTCAAATAGCCTCACTATTTTTCTCACTGCAACATTCACGCATTTAGGTCAATCTTAGTTTTCCTGCCCACGATCTCGCTATAGTCAGACTGCTTTGTTTGCCCTGCCAAAATAACAGTGAACAACATCTTAAATGTTAATGTTTTTATTAGATTTCCTGCAGAACAACTACCTCAGCAGCCCACATTGGCGTTCTGTGCAAGACATGACGCTGCTAAACGCAGAGAAAAAGATTTCTTCAGCAAACCCGATCCCTACATCGACGAATGGATGCTGTTAACCGGTCGCGTGCGCAAAGTGTTCGATGTGATAAAATTCGTCAAAGTTCATCCAGATGTTGACCATTTTATATTCGCAACCCGAAGATGTTTGAAATGCCCAATTATGCGTGATGAGTGCCCTATCATTCAAGCGAAACAGAGAGTCAATGAGCAAGAGGAAAAGGAGGCAGAACGTGTGCGAGAGAACGAAAGTTTAGCTATAAAAGGAGAAGTAGAGGAGGAGGAAGAACAGAATTCATCACCTGAAGATGTTTTCCAAATAATTTCGACACAGACGGGTTGGGTTATGAATGACGACAAGTACATGTCCAAAGTATACGAGCACATTAGATGGCGGTAAGCAAGCATCTTGCATACGTGTTCACGTTACTTCAATTTTTTTATGTAAATTTCATTGACTTTTAGCAAGGATTTTAAATAACTAAACGTTCTTTAAAAACACGCGTTTGCTTATCTTTTTATACAAAAAAAGTGTCACATGCTCTATTGTACCCAGCCCCATTTTCTACAGATGTCTTCAAATAGCCTCACTATTTTTCTCACTGCAACATTCACACAATTCGGCCAATCGTAGTTTTTCTGGCCACGATCCCCCTATAGTCAGAATACTATGTCTGCCCTGCCAAAATCACATTTAACAACATCTTTAATTTTAACGTTCTTATTAGATTCCCTGCAGAACAACTACCTCAGAGGCCAACATTGGCGTTCTGTGCAAGACGTGATGCTGCCAAACGCAGAGAAAAAGATTTCTTCAGCAAACCCGACCCCTACATCGACGCGTGGATGCTGTTAACCGGTCGCGTGCGCAAAGTGTTCGATGTGATAAAAT